TTGGAAAGCCTTCGGGGAACACGTTGGCATCTTGAAGGTCATCTGGGCCGCCTGGAGGCCATTTTGACCCCTTTCCGCGTCCTTCTTGGAGGACGTCTTGGAGGGCTTTTTGGCCGTCTTGGAGGCCATCTTGAGCGTGTTGGAGGCCTCTTGGGCCGTCTTGGGGGCCTCTTGGGGCCGTCTTGGGCGATCTTTGGGGGCACTTGTGCCGTCTCGGGCCGACGGAAGGCAGAAAGAATGCAAATGCCACAATCTTTCAAAAACCTTGGGGAATCAATGATTTTCTCCTTTTCGGGCCTTCCTGGAGGCCCTCTTGGAGGCCTCTTGGGCCGTCTTGGGCTATGTGAAGGCCATCTTCGGCTGTCTTGGTGGGCTCCCGGCACGTCTGACGCCGTCGGGAGCCGTCTTGGGGGCCTCTCTGGGTCGACTTGGGGCCCTCTTGGGGCGCTTCGGGGCCGTCTTAGAGGCCATATTGGGCGTCTTGGAGGCCTCTTGGCCCGTCTTGGGGCCCTCTTGGGGCCGTCTTGGGGGTTTCTTGGGCCGTCATCATGGGGCCCTCTTGGAGGCCTCTTGGGCGATCTTGGGGCGACCTTGGGGGCCTCTTGGGCCGCCTTGGGCCGGCGGAAAGCCGAAAAGGCGCAAATACCAAAACCCTTCAAACACCTAAGGAAAATCAATGATGTTCACCTCTTCGGGCCTTCCTGGAGGACCTCTTGGAGGCCTCTTGGGCCGTCTTGGAGGCCTCTGGGGGGCCTCGTGGGCCCATCTAAGGCCGTCGTGGGTGCACCTTGGAATCTTGGGCCGTCTTGGAGGCATCTTGGGGCCATCTTGGCCGTCTTGAAGGTCATCTTGGCTGTCTTGGAGGCATCTGGGAGGCCATCTTGGGCCATCTCGGCCGTCTTAGATGCCATCTTGGGCGTCTTGGAGTCCTCTTGGCCCATCTTGGAGCCCTCTTGGGGCCGTCTTGGGGGCGTCTTGGGCCGTCATGGGGCCATCTTGGAGGCTTCTTGGGCGATCTTGGGAGCCTCTTGGGCCGTCTGGGGCCGTCGGAAAGCCGAAAAGGCGCAACTGCCAAAATCCTTCACAAACCTATGGAAAATCACTGATTTTGGCCCTTTCGGGCCTTCCTGGAGGACGTCTTGGAAGGCTCTGGGGCCGTCTTGGAGGCCTCTTGCGGGCCTTTTGGGCCGTCGTAGACCATCATGAGGCCATCTTGGGCTGTCTTGGGTGCATCTTGGAGCCATCTTAGACGTCTGTGAGGCCGTCTTGGCTGTCTTGGAGCCATCTTGAAGGCCATCCTGGGCCATCTTGGCCGTCTGGGAAGCAATCTTGGGCCAACTTGGGGCAACAAAGGCATTGAGGGGTGGATTTTCGGGAATCTCCCGGGACCCCAGCGGGACGGGCCGAAGCCCCAGGGGGAGTTCTTTTAGAAAAAGAACCAAAACGATCCGCCGCCCCCTGTCGATTCATCGTAGGGGTGCCTGGCGTGCCGGATGATTTGGGTTTTGGTCCTTTTTCAAAAAGAACTCCCCTTGGGGTTCGGCCCGTCCCGCCGGGGTCCCGGGAGATTTCCGAAAACCCGGTTGCAAAGGCTTTTCTTGCTCCAGACGGCTCCATGACGGCCCAATGATGGTCTCCAAGATGCATCCAAGACGGCCAAGATGGCTTCCAAGACGGCTCAGATAGATGGCTCCAAGATGCTTCCAAGACGAGCCAAGATGCACTCAGCACGGCCTAAGATAGCCTCAACATGGCCCCAGACGGCCCAAGAGGCCTCCATGACGGCCCAAGAGGCCTCCTAGAGGTCCTCCAGGAAGGCCCGAAGAGGCCCAAATCATTGATTTCCCATTGGTTTTTGAAGGATTTGGGCAGTTGCGCCTTTTCGGCTTTCCGACGGCCCCAGACGGCCCAAGAGGCTCCCAAGATCGCCCCAAGATCGCCCAAGAGGCCTCCAAGAGGGCCCCACGACGGCCCAAGTGGCCTCCAAGACGGCCCCAAGAGGGCCCCAAGACGGCCCAAGCGGCCTCTAACACGCCCAAGATGGCCTCCAAGACGCCCAAGATGCCCTCCAAGACGGCCCCGAAGCGCCCCAAGAGGGCCCCAAGTCGGCCCAGAAAAGGCCCCCAAGACGGCTCAGACGGCGTCCGACGTACCAGGAACCCACCAAGATGGCCGAAGTTGGCTCGAAGCTGGCCCAAGACGGCCCACGAGGCCCCCAAGAAGGCCTCCAGGAAGGCCAGGAGAAGCCAAACATTTTAATTGTCCTTAGATGTTTGACGGATTTCGGCCTTCCGACGGCCCGAGACGGCCCAAGAGCCCCTAAAGATCGCCGACAGATCGCACAAGAGACCTCCAACATGGCCCCAGAACAACCCAAGAGGGCCCCCAAGAAGCCCCCAAGATTGCACAGGAGGCCTTTAAGACGCCCACGATGGCCTCCAAGACGGCCCTGGAGCATTCCAAGATGGCCCCAAGCCCCAAGTCGGCCCGTAGAGGCCCCCCCCCACGGCTTCCGACGGCGTCCGACGTGCCAGGAGCCCACCACAACGGCCGAAGATGGCCTTAAGATGGCCCAAGACGGCCACAGAGGCCTCCAAGAAGGCCTCCAGGAAGGCCCGAAAAGGCAAACATATTTGATTTCCCATGGGTTTTTGAAGGATTGTGGCATTTGCGTTTTTTCGGCCTTCTGACGGCCCGAGGCGGCCCAAGTGCGCCCAAAGATCGCCCAAGAGGCCCAAGACACGGCCCCAAGAGGCCCCCAAGACGGCCCAAGAGGTCTCGAAGATGTTCAAGATGGCCTCCAAGACGGCCCAAGAGCCCTCCAAGACGTCCTCCAAGAGGGCCCGAAAGGGTCAAAATGGCCTCCAGACGGCCAAGATGACCTTCAAGATGCCCACGTGTTCCCCGAAGGCTTTCCAAACCGATTCGGGGAACACATGCTCCGAAAAAGGCAGGGGGCGGCAGTGATTCGCCGCAGGCGTCTTCGATAGGATTCGGCACGCCAAACACCCCTTTGATAAATCAAAAGGGGGCGGCGGATCAATCGGCCTTCGGTCCAATCCGCCACCGTGCCAGGATTATTGGCCAGAGGCCTCTTAGATATCTCTTGAGAAGCCTATCTGAGGTCTCTTGGGGGTCTCCCGGGTGACGCAAAGGGGCATCTAAAAGGCCTCATGGAGACCTCTTGGGGCCTCCTGGTGCTCCGAATACCGCGAAGTCGGTAAGGTTAAACCAATTGAACCAGTGTGCAGAGATGTTGGCCTCTGATAGCGCTTCCTACAGCCGCCAAGACATTCCACGATGCGCTCCTGAGGTCTTCGAGACGGGCCCTGGAACCATCATGAATCATGATGGATGTGTGGAATCTCAGCCACGCCCCCCGAGGCGTCCAGAAAAGTCGCGCGGCACGCCTCCCGAGAGATTTCGGAGGTCCGAGCCATGGGCCCTTGCAAACGAAGAGCTTCACGAGATTCAACACAGAGAACCCTAAGGGACCTGCAGCCCTCTTTCTCCTGTGGCATCCGCCGCCGTTGCCACCGGGAACGGCAGTGGATATTGGGCTGTTGCGCGCATGCCCCTTCTCGCGCGGGCTGTGGGGGCCCTGCAGAGGGGGTGATGGGGGGGGTGAGGCCGTACAGTCGGGGCGCTGGACAAGGAACTCTTTTCGTTGGGGAGGGGCTCCGTGTTCCTCAAGTGGTTCACAGTTTGCCTCACGCTTTCATTAGGTTTTCGATGGGAAATCGAAGTTCAACTTCTGGACACAAGGGGCCGCGTTCCTCATATTTAGGGCTCCTTAGGTCAGCGCCCCGACTGTACTTCATTTTTCCTTGCGCCAGAAGGTATGGCTGTCCGACCGTATCTCAGATAGACTCAGGTCCTACGTTCGGTTGCCAGAACGCAGAGCTCGTTCCTTGGTGGGCACGATGCACCCGTCGAACTCCATGCGCATAGCTCCAGCTCATCGTCGTCCTTCCCTTCATCCTCGATCTCCTCGTCCCCCTCCTCGTTCTCATCACAGTCATCATCATCATCATCATCATCATCATCATCATCATCATCATCATCATCGTCATCGTCATCGTCATCGTCATCGTCATCGTCATCGTCATCACTGTCATCGTCATCGTCATCATCGTCATCATCATTTTCATGTTCATTACCATCATCATCGTCATCGTCATCGCCATTATCCGCCTCATCATCGTCATCACCATCATCACCACCACCATCATCACCATCATCGTGGTCATCAGCATTTACATCAGCATCATCGGTCTCGGCATCATCACCATCATCATCACCATCGTCATATTGTTCGCCTTCGTAATCATAATCATCGGCAGCTGACCCCTCATCATCGCCACCAATATCATCATCAACATCAGCATCGTCATCATCATCATCCTTCACCAATTATTAATCACCATCATGATTGTAATCCTCATCATCAGCATCATCATTACCATCGTCATATTCTTCGCCTTCATCATCATAATCATCGGCAGCAGACCCATCACCATCCCCACCAAAATCATCAGCATCATCATCATCAGCATCAGCATCAGCATCGTCATCACCATCATCTTTCACCAATTATCAATTACCATTATCATTATAACCCTCATCATCATCAGCAGCATCAGCATCATCATCATCATCATCGTCGTCGTCGTCGGCAGCAACAACATGATCATCACCATCATCATCCTTACCACCATCATCATCATCATCATCATCATCATCATCATCACCACCACCATCATCATCATCTCATCATCATCATCATCATCATCATCACCACCACCACCACCACCATCATCATCATCATCATCATCATCATCATCATCATCATCATCGTCCTCGTCCTCGTCGTCGTCCCCGTTCCCGTCCCCATCCCTCTCCTCGTCCCCCTCCTCGTGTCCTGCGCCTCGTTCTCGTCGTCCTCCCTCCTCGTCTGCAGAGGGGGGGGTATCCGCCGAGACGCGCGACGCCCGCGCGAGGCCACCGCCGCGGCGGAGGCTGCCACGGCACAGGCGTGGCGGCCCTTCCGCGTCGGCCTCCGGCGGCCCTCCGCGCAGCCGGCGTGTACGGCGGCCCCCCCCCCTGGCGGCGGGCCTCCGGCGCCGCCCCTTTGCGCACTCTCCGCCCGCCAGTGGGGCCCGTCCCGCGCCGAGCCGAGTCCGCGCAGAGCTCCGGGAGTGTATGCTGATGGCATGCATTCTTGGTTTTCCCCGGGGGGGGGGGGGGGGGCCATCGTGTCGCGAGGGCCTAATCTGGCCCGAGAGGAGGTCGCAGAGGCCTCCAGCTTCGCGGGCAGCTTTTCTCCCCCAACCTTTTTTCACTTGTCAGCCAAGAAGGAAGCCGCTCAGAGGAGGAGGGAGACCCTGGGATAGACCCCGAGTGGGGCTATCCGGACGCAGCCCGATCGATGGTGGACTCCCCCCATCATACATCCCAGGGTCGGGCCCCAATTTTTTATAGTCCACTCGAGAACCCCTCGGAGTCTTAGACTCCGTGGGGTCTTCAGATTCTTCCAGATTCTTCCGAATTGTTTCTGGACGCCATCAGGTTCTCGCAGATTTCTGCGGATCGCTCGATCAGCGCCCAAGCGTCAAGCGCCGGCAAGATCTTAATGAGTCTGGGATAAGGTTCGACATGTCCCCTGCTTAGGGGGCCACATGCGAGCCCTACCGTTGCAGCTGGGCGCCCAGGACCGGCCGGCCATCCGTGCTCGTGGCGGCTAGCACATTGGCGCGGGCCGTGCGTGGCGGTGGTCCTCGTCCGGGGGATGTTCGGGGTGCTGCAGGTTGTGCGCTGGCCCCCTCGGTTGCGTACCCCGCGAGGGCGGGCTCGTGCCAGATGCAGATTCAGATGGGCCTGTTTTCCACCACCATAAATTGGAGGGGGAAGGAGGTGGAGGATGAGGAGGAGGAAGAAGTGGAGGAGGAGGAGAAGGAGGAGGAGAAGGATGAGGAGGAGGAGGATCCGCTCCCCCTCCCACTTATGGTGGTGGCTGTGGAAAACAAGCCCACCAAATTCTCTGCACCTCGTCAGCCACGCGCCCGGGGGTGGGCGGTGGCGGGAGGGGGGAGGGCTTGTAAACGCACCCCCCTTTTTTAGGAGGCGCGGGTGCCCCTCCTGAAAACAACTTGTTGTTGCTTCTTGGAACGTGCTCCTGGTGTGTTACTCGACCACGCGTAGAGGGTGTATGGGGGAGGGGGAACGCTTCTTAGAAATACCCTTGCTTGCTAAAAGGCGCGGGCCTTGCCTGTAGATGTTAGGCCCGCGCCTTTCAAGAAGCAGCCTCCTTCTAAGAAGCCTTCCCCCCTCCACCTACCCCCTTGTGCGCGCTGCTAAGTTTCTAAGAAGCAGGTGGCTTGCTTCTGGTAAGCTGGTCTTGTTTCAAAGAGGTAGTTCCGTACTTCTCAGGAGCTGTCTGGGGTGCCTCCGAGAAGAGGCGGCGCGCCCCTGGCTTCTCAGGAGGGCCGCCAGCGCCTTCTGAGAGGCTGCCGCCTTCGAAGAAACCTTCCCTTCCCTCCTCCTACTCCTTCTCCTTCTCCTCCTCCTCCTCTTTCTCCTCCTCCTAAGGAGCTTCCTCCTCCTCCTCCCTCCTCCTCCTCCTCCTCCTCCTTCTCCTCCTCCTCCCTGTCCTTTCAAGAGGCTCCCTCCTCTTCCTTCTCCTCCTCCTCCTCCTCCGCCTCCTCCTCCTCCTCCTCCTCCTCTCCTCCTTCTCTTCATCCTCCTCCTACTCCTCCTCCTCCCCTCCTCCTCCTCCTCCTCCTCCTCCTCCTCCTCCTCCTCCTCCTCCTCCTCCTCCTCCTCCTCCTCCTCCTCCTCCTCCTCCTATCCTCCTTCTCCTCTCCTTGCCCCGTGCGCGCGCCGCCAACGACCTGAAGGCAACGGCCGCGTCGGCTGCGCGGCTCGCACAGTCTCGGGGCACCGAGAGCCCTCGGCTGCGGCCTCACCGAGCGCTGATGTTGCGGGGCTCCCGGGCAGCTGGCGAGGAGGTCTCGGGCGGTGCCCGCTGACGGTGTACAGTGGGGGCCCACGCCAAGACACACCCTGCTCGCTCGGAGGGAGGAGAAGCGATACCAACACCACCAGGGGGCCCACCTCCAGCGAGGAGGTCCACAATGCCTCCCCGAGCGGGAGACTGGGGATGTCTCGAGCGAGAGGGGGGGACCACACCACCAGGGAGACCCCCTTTGCCTCCGCGCATCTCCTCGCCCTGTTGGTGTTGGTGTCGCCTTTCCTTGTTCCTAGCTCGCCTCCAGGGTGCCCTGGGTTTCTTGGGTTTCCCTGGCTTTGCGACGGAAGGCGTGACGTTCCCGCGACAACAAATCAAGGGGCGGCCTCTGGGTCTCAGGTTTGGGGGTTTCTTGTGGAGGGTTTCGTGCGGACTGGCCTCCGCTGTAGCAAGGCCGCCAAAGGTTCTCCGTCAATTGCGGGGAAGTCCCAGACGAGAGCGTGATTCCTGAGTCAATTGTGAGGAAGTCCCGGCCAGGAGCGGGGCCCTGAATGATTTGCGAGGGAGTCTCGGGCGGTACCCGTTGATGATGCAGCCAGGCCGTCAAAGGTTCTCCGTCAATTGACTTGGTATCGCTCGGCCGTGTGCACTTTTTTCTCGGCGGGGATCCTTGAGGAGCATCCTGGATCATCCCGCGACAAACCGCGCACGAAGCCGAAGAAAGCGCAGGGAATGGACGTCCGAGCGATGGCCAGTTGAGGGAAAGTCCCCGGCGAGAGCGGGATTCTTGAGCCAGTGGCGAGGGAGTCCCGGCCAGGAGCGGGGCTCTCAGAGCATATTTTGCGAGGAGGTCTCAGGCGGGATCCGCCTTCGAACGTGAGCACCTTTGTCGACGAAGAGGTGATCCGGGCCCCGCGCGAAAGCGTTCTGTCAATCTTTCGTCGATCAAAAGTAATCTAGTCTTAAGTGGGGCCCGTCCCTCTACAGGAGGAGTAGTCAAGAATAGTCAAAGCCTCGTATGGGGACAATTTTTTGAGCATTTTTGCCTTTTTGGAATACTTTTGGAGTATTTTTTTTTTTCGCGGAAAATCCCCCTGTAGGGGGACACGCCCGACTTAACAATAGTCAGTATGTTTTGAAATTCGTGTTCAAGCATAAGCACACACGCCTCACCGCGGAAACCCACGTCATGGACGCTCGTAAGGTTGGCGCAAAACCGTTCGGCCCCTCACCCTGATTTGATGCTCGTACTGATGACCGGCCGCGGTCGACTCACAGTGCCAACGTTGCAATGTCACCAACTCCCTCCTCCTCCTCCCGAAGGCTTCCATCGTTCCCGCTCCATCCTCGAAGGCGATTTGTTCCCCCCCCCTGGTGTTCTGATGAAAAATGAAGCCGCTCAGAAAAGCAAGGAAACCTTGGGATACATCCCAAAGGGGCCATTCGGACGCACCCCTATCGAGGATGGACGCCCCCCATCGGATATCCCAGGGGTGTGCCCCAGATTTGGTTCATTCGAACATCCCGCGAAGCCTGGGATATGGGTCGACATACCTCCTATTACATCCACTCCCCCATCCGTCCTCTTCCTCCTTCGTCCTCGCCCGTCCTCCGTCTCTTCCCTCCGCCGACGCCCGACGACGCCCGACGCCCACGCCGACGACGACAGCGCCCACCACGGGCTCCCCGCGCAGGTCCACGCCCAAGGCGCTGGCCCCGGCGGCGCGCCGGCGGGTGCCGCGGCCACCGCCACCGCCGCGGCTATTTTCCATGCCGAGGACGGCGCGCGCAGGGTCGTCGCCGCCTCCGCTGGCCGCCGTCTTCGAGGACGCCGCCGCGGGCCGCCGGCGTCGGCGGCGTCACCGCCGCGGTCGACGGCGCGCCGCTGCCGTCGCCTCGGACGACGGCGTGGCCGCCGCCGGGGTCCCGCATGTCGAGGGGCGGAGCCCGCAGTCGGCCAACGGTGGGGTCCACAGGGCGCTGGCGGGGTGCCATGCAGGGTCGTCGTCGCCGCCCTGGTCCTCGCGGCAGGGGCGGGGGGAGTGCAGGGGAGGAGGCGGAGGTGGGGTGGCAGGACAGAGGGGAGGAGGAGGGGAGAGGAGAGAGGGATGGGGTTGGTCAGGGCAGAAGCGGAGGCGGAGGAAGCCAGGAGGGGGGAGGGGGTTGGATCTGGAGAGGGGAGGAGGTGGTAGAGGAGGAGGTGGAAGTGGAGGAGGAGCAGGAGCAGGAGCAGGTGGAGGAATAGGACCACATTGGTATTACTTGTATTGCTCGGTTTACTTTGAGGTACACCCACTCATTTTGTCTGATTTCGGATATCCATGTACCTACCCTCTATTCGTGTGTGTACACTCATTTCTGAAGCATGCCACCGGGTGTATTATTTTCTACACATATGTATGTGTATATATATATATGTGTGTATATATACATATACATACAATGTACAATCTAAGTATGGTCGTGGTGGCAAGCATCGTGTGTCTCTCTGTCTCTCTCGTTTGTTCTCTAAATGCCACTCTCTCTCTCCCTCTTCCCTCCTCCTCTGTCTTTTGTTGCATGCTGCTTCTATGCTTGCTGCATCTACCCCGGCAACTCGCTCCGTTATCTGTCATGCAACACCGCTTCACCATGCTGCCCGCTCAGCTCTGCTGTACACCTCTGCTTTACCACCTGCACTCTTCCTGACCGTGGTCGCAGGGACGCAGGCACCGTGGCCGCAAAACCACCGCGGGGAACTCCTCTGCCGCGCCAGGGACCCCAGACACCGATCTCTGGGCACCCGGTGCCCCACCGACGTCGGCTCGGAACCGGGAATCCAGGACTTCGCCCGCCCAACAAATAGGTCCTGGTTTTGCCGCCGGTCGGGTGGGGGAGGGGGTGCATCTCAATCGGGAGAGGAGGTTCAGTTCCTAGCGGAAGCGCCGCCAGCTGTTTCGCTCAGTCCCACCCGCCCTTCCTTCATGAGGATGGAGGATGGAGGAGCCGGGGAGGACGGATGGAGGATGGCGGAGCAGGACCGAGGAGCACGGCGGGCAGAGCCATGCCAGTGGCCGCCGACGGCCCCCGATGGCCGCCAAAGGCCGCCGTCGCCGACGCCGTCGCCCCCACCGTCGTCGTCTCCCCTCAAGGGCCAGCTCCCAGACATGCACGTCTATGGGGAGCGAGGAATGACATTTCTCGGATCGGCGCTGGGGCCCCCTGGCGGCGCTTCCAGCGCCGCCCCTGGCACGCTCCGCGCGCCAGGGAGGGGGGTCCAGCGCGGATCCAAGCTATCCGCGCGGACCTCCGAGTTTGAATGTGCATGTCATTTTCAGGTTTCCTAACAAAGTCGGTCTGGCATTGTCGCTAGAATCCCCGAACTGGGGACCTCGGAACCCAGCCGCCAGCCGACACCGGTTTGGAAATCTGGCTAAATCGTTGGGTCTATGCTTAGACGATCCAGCGCATGCGCCGACTCGGGAACAGGGGCGAGGGCGTGTTCGAGGAGAGTGAAATTCTTGTGACGCTTCATGTATCCTAAGAGAGCTCAAGGTTTGCTAGGGAACGGGTTCCTCCCCAAACGACAGCAATCCTTCCGAACACCCCCCAAAATTATCCGCAAAGCATCCCGGAACCCTTGCTGTATGGTTTTCGCGGAAAGTTTCGGGAGGGTTTCGGCTCCTTCGACGGCAGAGCAGTCCCTGGCGAAACTTGCACTTTCTAAATGTATCCCCACCGGCCCATCCAGAAAAAAATCCCAAGGGCGAACTGCATTGATCAGAGAAGTGTCAGAACAGGCGGTGGAACCAAGTGGGGGGGTAGCCGTCAAACCGAAGATCGGGAGTAGCCCCAGGAGTCATTCACAGATGCCTGCTCGGATCTTTAGATTTGGATCTTGCCACTCGCGACGGGGGGAACATGCTCGTCCTCCTCCTCGTCCTCCTCATCCTTATCCTCCTCCTCCCTAGCTGCCGCTCGGCTGAAGCGGAGCTGCGAAGCACAGCAGACTATCGAAGCCACCCTTCAGGCTTGCCTCATCCTGACTAGCTCTGGTGCTCTCGGGTCAGCCCTGACGGCGTCTCGGGTTCTGTCTCCTCTCTTATTCACCCCGTTACACGCTAGGGGGGCTCGCATGATTGAGCTGATGGATTAGCTGGACAGATTTAAGCTGATTTGGTTGGCAGGCGCTCAACTCAAGGAGTTGGACAATGAATGCTACCGCATCATTAAGCAGTCCGAGCGGATCATCGTACACGCTGGTTGCCGAGTGGGAGGCTTTTCCAACAAGGTGGCGGGCTGTTCGATTGCACTACGCCGTAGATGGACTCAGCGGCATATTCGGAAAATTGATATGCCCCTGGGGCTCTTCAGGGACATGGTCTTGCATTGCATTGGAAATTCGGGAAAGGATAATTATGTTACGTCAGTGTTATCCATTTTCCCCGAAGCTACCAAGGCCCAGCAAGTCAAACAGTGCCTCGTGGCATGCAGACAACTTCGAGATTAGCTCAAGGGCATGTTTCGGGTTCTACCTCGACGTGCGCGTCCGATTATGATGGGAATGTTGAATTGATGGTTTAGGGACTGCGAAGCAGGACGGGGAGTGGAATGAGCTGACTACCCCATCTTTCGGACCAGCGAAAACGGAAACATGTGTTCGTGAAGTTATTCACGAGGTGGTGGTGCGCACCTTCGTTCCCACATGTTTCGGTTCGGCAAGGGGACTTCCTATGATTGACTTCATAGCTGAGACTTCGGCATGGTGTGATCCGATTCTGCTAGCATCCCTTATCCATCGACTGGGTCGTCGTGTATAGGCTGTTCGATGTCGGGGTGCACGCGACCATGTACCGGTGCTGATCAAGTGTCGTGTACCTCGCGTTTCGATTGTTCATCCAGTGGCTATTCCTTCCTCGCCTGACGGCGAACATTGCCAGGGATCGTGGCAACTTCTGAGGGAAGCATTCGTTCGAGCTGTAGATGACCGACTGGCAACTGAGTGGCCGCAGTGGGAGCAGTGCGAGGCAGAGCCAGAATATTGTCCACCGGATGGATCTGGTCTTCAGAGAATTCGGATTTTTGTGTTTGAAAAGGCTGGCCGACCTGAATATTACATGTCCGCTTTCTCACAGTATTCGGTGGAATTGTTCCGACGTCGGCGGGATCAGAGCTACACTTACTCAAATACGACTGATGCTGAGTTTCTGTCGCGCTGTCGTGAGTTACAGGATATCTTACCAGCCTGTAGAAATGTCTTCAGGGATGACAGGAATCGTCGTCAGGAGCAACGTTTTCAGGACCTTGGTAAAATAGCTGCGGCGCATCGTCTTTCACCTCTGCTTGCTGGAAGAAGGTACGGACGAGCTCGACGGGGCTACTCGATTTGACGGCATGCTGCCTAGTTTGGAAGAGTGGATGGCAGTCCTACAAGGAACTGGGAGTGAAGGGGGCTTTGCTGCTCTTCGTGTTGCGTGGGATGCGACGGTTAATCTTGGACAGTCTATGGCGACGCCCCCAACGTCTCGGCCCCCAACACGGCCCGAGCGTCTCCCATATGTATGTTTCCAGGCAGCAGCAGACGTTGAGCTTGTCCGGAGGTGCGCCAAAAGAGCGGCCGAGAGAACAAGTGATACACCATGGTACGCTCCATTGGCATTGTGGTGTATATCGATGCGCAAGCTCGACGCACCTCAGTCGAACGCAGACAGGATTGGCCTGGGCAGTGACAGGGCAATCACCGACGCAGTAGTTGCGCGGCGGTGGCTTCATAAGGCGTTTACGATGACCCGGTTCTGAGGGTGTGATTCCGGCGTGGAGCTGCTGCAAAGGCCCCCACTTCCCGAAATCGACCTTCCTTGTGCCCGATGGGGAAATGCGCCGTGGACTCGACCCTGTCAGCGACAGGTTTTTCGTTGACTTCTTGCAGTGAGGCCCGAAAGACCAGGACTCGGACTGCGATCGCGGGTTCTTGAGGGTCAGACAGAGGGTGATCAGTAATATGTATACTTCTGGGGGGCTTTTGGCAGCGGGGATCTCTTGGCGCGACTCCCTCGAGGATCTCGCGGGCGCCTGCGCGTCCTAGACGAGGGTTAAACCAGACGTCAGCGCTGCGTTGACGCGACCTCGCGATTTTTGGCTTGCGCGGCGCCGTCGCGCGGCGCAAATTGTCGCACCGGCATCCGATGGGCTTCATTTTTCCCCGGCGTGGGCGCGGCGGCCCCCGGGGTGGGCCCGCGTGCGATTCGCTCTTGTTGTCGCGCGTGCCCCTTGCCTGTGGATGCGTGGATCGAGAAGTTCCAGGAGCGCCGCGAGGAGAGGCGGGGGGGGGATCTGCGGGCGATTATCCCTGAAGAGGCCCCCCCTGGGTCTTGCAAGGTCTCCTTGGGCCTCCAGAAGATCGCAGACGACTTGCTCCGTCAAATCATCGCGGGCCCCCCCTTTCATGACCGACAAGTGCCGGCATCTCGCCACCGCCAATAATGATGGGCTCTCAGAGGAAGAGCTCGGGCAGATCGGTGGCAGGGGAATCGAGGGCAAGCGGTGTTCTATCCTGGGGCTCCTGTAGAGCGACGGCAGACAGCCGCCCCCCGCGCCCTGGGCGGTGCAATTTGTGATGGGGCGCGGTAGTCTGGCCCCGTCTCACCCCGTCTCGAGCGCGAAGCGATGACGGGCGCACCAGAGCAACGACGCCGGCATTATTTCGACTTCGTCACGTCGGGTGTCAGAGAGGAGCCCTTCGTCGTTGGAAGAAGCGAGCCCCCTTGTGCCGCGTGCTCAATGCAGCGCTGTCAGGCGCAAAGGCGTGCGTTGCGAATGCTCCGCAGATCTGCGCAGTGGAGTTTGCCGCGGCTGGGATTGCCAGGCGAGCGACAAAGCGAAGCGGCGCGGGGGGGGTTCAGGGCAAGACCGGGCGCGCCACGACAGAGGGGGTGATGGCGCGGCGGAGGGTTGCCCAGATTGCGAGCGAGTTTCGAACCAGACGTCTCCGGCGGCGACGGGCATGTGTTCGACGCCCGGAGTGTCGCAAACAGCTCATCGCGCAAGTGTTTGGCACCGTCCTGCATGAGTATCAGTGGGTTGTCCGACCGAATCGGTCGGCCTCGGCAGTTGGCAGTCCGCGGGCTCGGCAGTTTCATGGGTGCGTCGTTGAGATTGCCAGATCGAGTGAAAAAGCGGCGTCGCGTTGGGCCAGAGCTGGGGAGTCGTTGCGGCCCCCTTTTTCTCCATCGAGATGGGGAAGGTTTCAGCGGAGTGGATGTTGGAGCGTTTCGAAGTCGCTTCTTCGACGTCGACGCCGCCCCCCATCTTCTCTCGGAGGCCCCGCGGCGCGGCGCTCTGCGCGCCCAGCTGTCGCGCAAGCGCTCTTGGGAGATGGGGGGGGGGGGGGGGGGGGGCGGGCGGCCGCGCTGGCGGCGTTGAGGAAGGGCCTCATTAATCATGTTCGGCTTGTGCGTGGAGCCCCGAAGCTTTGGCAGTCCCTCGCGGCCGCCTGCCGGCGCCCGTCGCGCGGGGGGTCACGCGGGGCCGTGAGAGCGCCCGGAGGCACTTCCATGGGGCCCTGTACATGGAAAAGATTTAATCTGGGAGAGCGTCGACGTTGCCGCCGTTGGCGCGACCGCAGGTTCTCCCGCGTGGCATTCGCGGGCCAAGTTGGGCCTCGCTCGAGGCTTGCGCCGAGCGCGCCTGCGCCCGCCTTCCTGTTCGAGCACGAGCGCAGCCTCGCAGGCGCGCCCGAGTTCGACCCCGTGGCCAGGGGCGACGAGCTGATCCAGGGCGACAGGGCAGCGCGTGCACTGGCGGCGCGCGGAGTCTAGCGCGAGGCCGCGGGCGGCGGCGGCGGCGGCACCTTCGGGGATTCAGGTCGAGGCCGCGGGCGGCGGCGGATGCGGGGGCCAGGCCAATGGGAAGGACAAGAAGGAGGGGGGGAAGGGGAAGGGCCCGCTCGAGGCAGCGGTGCAGCTGGCTTCGATCAGCGCAGCAGACGCCGCTGCCATCGAGGAGGACCTGCGACAAACGCACCACGCGCTAGCGGCCCATGTCCCCGCGAAGGCGGGGCCGGCGGCGAGCGCCCAATGCAGCGGGGGCGTCGAGGAGCTCGGGGGGGGGGCGCAAGAAGACCGAGCCCGACGCGGACCTCAGCGCCATGGGCCCGCCATGCACCATTGTGTTCTACATGGCCATGAGCGCGGCGAAAAAGAAACCGCCATAGCCGGCGGCGACTGCGCAGGCGCCTGCGCCATGAACGAGTGTTGGGCCAAACGCATCGACCAGGAGCTCTCTGGCTACATAGCGGAGCGCGCGCCCCACTTTTCGGCGAAGCAGACGCGCAGGGACCGCGGCGAGGTGATGGAGGGCAGTGTCGAGTTGACGGCGCGCCTCCACGCGGCCCATCCCGCGGGCGTCCAGATCGCGCACACTTCGCGTCCGATCCTGGCGGAGATCGAGCGTCGCGGGCAGGTCGGTTCCACGCCCCGCGACTCACGAGCGGAAGATCGCGGCGATCCTCAACAAGGGGGCTAGACAGGGTGGAGGTGCAGGCCGAGGGCGCAAATGTTGCGAGTCTTCAGAGATGGTGAGGGTGCTGTGGGTGCCGCTGCGACTGGAGCCCACCATTCCAATGTGCGGCCTCTTCCCCGATGTCAGATCTCAGTGGGGGTGGGCAGTTCATTCAGTTTTGGGTATATTCGACGATGTTGGAGAGCACCATGATGCATGATAGAATGCAGCCTGATGTACTTTCAGTTTTCTGTCGAGAGGAATTTGATTTGCCAAGTGTGTCATACTCTCGTCGAGTTATCAGCTCAGTTTGATTCGGAGGAGACGCGCGCTGTCGAGCAGGACAGGGAGCAGCGTCGTCTGTGTTCGACGGCGTCGACCGCCCTCCCTCCTCCCAAGGTTCGTGCTGTGAGGCCCTCGCAGCCAGATCTCCCGGTGACGCTGCAGCAGAGCGGCGCCAGCCTCCAGGACCTCCTTTTTGGCGCGGGGCCATCGAGGACGCCCGAGCTGGAGCGGGGGGGGGACCGATTCGCGGCGGGAGTGGGCGGGGGCTGGTTCGGGGGAGTCCGGCGGGGATGGGGGGGGGGGGATTGCCGCCGTTGCTGGGGATCGTGGGGAGTGAAGGGCACCGAGGTCAAAGAGGACCCGAGCGCGCCTTCGCTCCCCGCAGCAGCCGTGACAAAAAACTCCGAGGCGCACGTAGCAGTTGTGGCTGCTGCGCGCAGGCACCCCGCGTGGCACTCCACGCTTGGTGCTGGTTTTGGGGGCCAGCGGGGGTGTCTCCCTCCAGCTGCGGGCCCCTTTTGAATGTTTGGATTCAGCGGGCATGTGCCCACGCAGGGACTTTGGACTGGCCGTTTCGAGATTCCCATCAGTTTTTTCTCTCTGCCAGACTTGCAGTCCCCAGCGTTTTTTGGGTTGGGTTTTTGTCCTCCTCCTCCCTCCTCCCTCCTCCGATTTCCACCTCCTCCTTCCTACTCTTCTTCCTCCTCCTCCTCCTCCTCCTCCTCCTCCTCCTCCTCCTCCTCCTCCTCCTCCTCCTTATCCTCCTCCTTCTCCTCCTCCTCCTCTTCCTCTTCCTCCTCCCTCCTCCTCCTCCTCCTCCTCCTCCTCCTCCTCCTCCTCCTCCTCCTCCTCCTCCTCCTCCCCGTCCTCCTCCTCCTCCTCCTCCTCCTCCTCCTCCTCCTCCTCCTCCTCCTCCGTTGTCCTTCATCTTCCGCCTCCAGTCCTCCTCTGCTTCCATGCAGCCAAAACGCTGAAATAAGAAGCAGGTTTGGTACGGAAGGGCTCGATTTTCCTTAGGTCCTTCATGGCTGTTCCCCTAGCCATTTTCGTGCACGCAGGCGTTTCTGGGGCCAAACATTGGTTCCTTCTGAAAATGTCCTTCCTTCAACAGCCCGACAGAATGGGATCGTTTATTGTCGGATTAATTTGGCCATCTTGGGGCCGTCTTGGGGCCAGTTTGGAAGCTTTGCCTTGACCCGAAAGGTAACATCTCCATGGCGGCGCCACCGAGAATGCGAAGTTCCACCCCGCGTCGAGCAGCACAGGTAGCGAAACGCGAGTTTCTTGGACTCGGGCGGGGCGAGGATTTGGATGAATCGCTCCAGATCGTTCCTCGAGGCCGCTTCGAAGGGGGTTACTGTTGTCGGAAGATCGCGCCGCATCGCCGATGCGATTCGATGTGGAGCCCGATGTTCTGCGCTGGCGTCGCCGATGAGCCGCCGTTGTCGCTGATGCGCGCGATCCTCCTAGCCCATCTGCTCGGACCCCATGCAGGAGGTCACCAGTTCTGGAATGCTCTCAGAGTGTTCGGAACGCTCTGGGAACGCGCGGCGCCCGTTGCATCCTCTCCAAAACCCCCTTTCCGCCCCCGTCTGGACCCCGGTTTATGGACCCTTCGGGGGGGTAGCGGCGCGGGGCCGGACGAGAAAGGTGCCCCCCCCCTCTCTCTCTGCGGCGGCGCCGAGGGCGCGAGGCTCCACCCCGCGTCGAGCAGCACGGGGCACGAAGCACGAGAGGCTTGGGCCCAACCTGGGTGCCGGACGGGGCGAGGAGGAGGAGGAGGAGGAGGAGGAAGAGGAGGAGGAGGACGAAGAAAATCAATCCGCCTCAGAGGGTTCCGGAGCGCTGTCAAAGCGCTCCGGAACGCTCTGAGCAGGCCACGGCGCCCGAGACATGCTCCCGATGCGCCGGACTTGGAAGAGTGTCGATTCATCCTTACCTCCTCCTCCTCCTGTTCCTCCTGCTCCTCCTCCTCCTCCTCCGCCTCCTCCTCCTCCTCCTCCTCCTGCTCCTGCTCCTCCTCCCCCGCCCCTCCTCCTCCTCCCCCCCCTCCTCCTCCCCCTCCTCCTCCCCCCCCTCCTCCTCCCACTCCTCCTCCTCCCCCTCCGAAGTTGTCCTCGCCCTGGTCTCGTCGTGCGCGCGGGGCGCGACTGGGCCCGACCGCCGGCGGCAGCGGGTCGCCTCTCGCGCGCGCGCGCCCTCGCCGGCGCGCAGAGGAGGGCGCCGCCCCGCCGGGCGAGGGGCCGGCCGCGGAGGCGGCGGCCGTGGAGGCGGCGGCCGTGGAGGCGGGGCGCGGCGAGACGAGGTGGTTCTGAGCGCGCCTCCCGCCTCCCGCCTGCTCCTGCTCCTCCTCCTTCCCTCTCCTCTCCTCCTCCTCCTCCTCCTCCTCCTCCTCCTTCCCCTCCTCCTCCTCCTCCTCCTCCTCCTCCTCCTCCTCCTCCTCCTCCTCCTCCCCCTCCCCCTCCTCCTTCCCCTTCTCCTCTCCTCCTCCTCCTCCTCCTCCTCCTCCTCCTCCTCCTCCTGAGGGTCTGTCGGCCGCGCGCCCACGGGGGCAGGGGGGGAGGCTCGGCCGCCCCGCGCCGCGCCGGCCGGGCCGCGCGCAGCCGCCCCGTCGCCGCGCGCGGCGCGGGCCGCCGGGAGGCGGCTGCAGAGACCTGGCGCCCTCCAAAAGCTGCGGCGGGCTCGGGCGCGGTGGCGCTGTGGAAGGCGAGCAGAGTCGGGGTCGGCAAAGAGGGGGGTGCGTCGGGGGGAGGAGGAGGAATGGGAGGGGGAGGAGGAGGAATAGGAGGGGGAGGAGGAGGAGGAGGAGGAGGAGGAGGAGGAGGAGGAGGAGGAGGAGGAGGAGGAGGAGTGCAGAGGATTTCCGATTCCCCACACCTTCCGCAGCTCGCCCCCGCAGCCTGCGCTGGTCGGAGCGATGTCGTTGGCATACGATGTCATCGGGGGCGGAAAAGAGGGGGGTGATGACTAGGGGTGGGTGGATCTCATGGCGGGGGCCATGACATTTCCCCAGATTTCATGGCGCCTCTTCTTATTTCGTGACGTCCCCAGGCCCCCCCTTGGGCCGCGCACGTGCCGCCGGTCATGATGTGCACCCCCCCCTCTTTGACGCCCCCCTCTTGGCCGCCCCCGACAAGGGAGAGGAAGCATCGGAGGTGGATAGACCTCCTACCCTGACCCGTCGATGAAGGAATTGGCCGTGTTCGGTTCGCGAGAGGGCGTCGCGGCCGTCATGTTTGCGGCTCCAGGTCCGTTGGTTTCGGTCCCAGGCCGTTTTCACTAAGGGGAGGTTTAGTAAAGGGAGGTGTGTCCACCGCCGAAAGCAGGTTGCCTAATACTTTCCAGATGCTTAGAACATGTTTGAGACATACGAACACATGTTGCAAACATTATGAAAACATGTTTCTAACGTTTTGAAAACCAATTCCCAGATCAATGATCGGATTGTCAGGGGGTCCATTGCCATGGCATTCACAACGTTGGTGAACGTTTTTGTTGTGCATTGTGTTGCCGATCAGCGCGGGCCCTCCTCGCCCCGCCCCCCCCTTCCCCCCCCGCCCCTCTGGAGCAGAGCTTGGCATCCTCTTCGTTCCCACAAATTCGGGACAACCTCCATCGCCAGCCCCACACCCCTCGGAGGGACCACCGCCGCCGAGAAGCCCCCGGATACACCTTAGGCGATGCTTAAGAAAACTTACATTTTCGGCCAGAGTCTCGATTATTACTTATTCTTAACGTTTCAATGTAAATCCTAAGATTTTGATAGACATGTTGGGTTTGTATTCAAGTTCTGAGACCAAGACTTTCTTAACCCATGATTTCTTAACCATTTCGCGTGGTGTACCTCTGGGCGGTGGCGCGCCTGAGCGTCCGCCAGCACGGGGCGGCGCTCGGGCGTGCCACTCCGCCCCAGGGTCGGTCCCGCCCCGATGGAGTCCCGGTGGCGGTGGTCCGATCGTGTCCAGTGAGCCCTCCCGGCCTTCGGCCCGCCCCCCCCTAGACGCCGCGTCCCGTCGGAGCGCCCCAGGCGGCCCGCGCTGGCCACGCGGCGGCTTCTGGCAGCCCTGGGCCGATGCTATAACACTACCGCACGCCCACACATCTACGGTGGGGGCCCATGCCGAAAGACGCGCTGCCGGTCTCCAGGGTGCCCCCCCGGTGTCTTGGGCTTCGATGGTTCTGCTATGGAGAGCGTGGCGTTTCCACGCCAACGGGGGTCTCAGGGTGAGGTGTCGGTTGTGGGCGAAAAATGGAAGGGTGGGATGTCCCAAGAACAGAGGTTCCATGGGATGTGGATGCCGGGGCCAGGTGGGGGCGTGGTGGGGGGCAGGGGGAGGGGTCGGTCGGTTTTGGGCGAGGAATGGAAGGGCGGGGTGTCCCAAGGGCAGCGGTTCCATGGGGTGTGGATGCCGGGGCCAGGTGGGGGCGTGGTGGGGGGCAGGGGGGGGGGTCGTCGGTTCGGGGCGAGAAATGTGCCCCAAGAACAGAGGTTCCATGGGGTGTGGATGCCGGGGCCAGGTGGGGGCGTGGCTGGGGGCGGGGGGGGTGGGTCGGTCGGTTTTGGGCGAGGAATGGAAGGGTGGGGTGTCCCAAGAAACAGAGGTTCCATGGGGTGTGGATGCCGGGGCCAGGTGGGGGCGTGGCTGGGGGCGGGGGGGGGGTCGGGTTTTGGGGCGAAAAATGGAAGGGTGGGGTGCCCCAAAAACAAAGGTTCCATGGGGTGTGGATGCCGGGGCCAGGTGGGGGCGTGGTGGGGGGAAGGAGGGGGGGGTCGGTCGGTTTTGGGCGAGGAATGGAAGGGCGGGGTGTCCCAAGGGCAGCGGTTCCATGGGGTGGATGCCGGGCCAGGGGGGGCGTGGTGGGGGGCAGGGGGGGGGTCGGTCGGTTTTGGGCGAGGAATGGAAGGGTGGGGTGTCCCAAGAACAGAGGTTCCATGGGGTGTGGATGCCAGGGCCAGTGGGGGCGTGGTGGGGGGCACATGGGGGGGGGGCGGTCGGTTGTGGGCGAGAAATGGAAGGGTGGGGTGTCCCAAGAACAGAGGTTCCATGGTTTGGGGGGAGGTCGGTCGGTTTTGGGCGAGACATGGTAGGGGCAGAAGCTCCAATAACAAAGGCCATGGAGTGTGGATGCCGACGCCAGGTAGGGGGCGTCGTGGGGGGCAGGGGGAGGGGTATCGAGAAACGATGGGTTGGGGGGTCTCAAGAACAGAAGCTCCATGGGGTGGGGATGCCGGGGCGTGGTGGGGGGTATCGGTCGGTTTTGGACGAGAAATGGTGGGGTGGGGGGTCCGAAAAAAGAGAGGCTCCATGGAGTGGGGATGGCGGGGCGTGGTGGAGGGTATCGGTCGGTTTGGGGCGAGAAATGGTGGAGTGGGGGGCTCCTTGAACAGAGGCTCCATTGGATGGGGATGCCGGGGCGTGGTGGGGGGTATCGGTCGAATTTGGGCGAGTATCGGTTGGTTTTGGGCGAGAAATGGTGGGGTGGGTGGTCCCGAGAGCAGAGGCTCCATGGGGTGGGGATGCCGGGGCGTGGTGGGGCCATGGTGAGGAGCCAGAACTTGTCGTGTGGACAGGGCGAGGAAAGGAGTATGGGTCCATGTTGGGGAATGCTGGGCAAAGTGTGTTTCTTTGCCTCACACGTTTCTGGGGTCGGCGGATTTGCATTGACGTGGTGAAGATTGCACGAGGCAGAACAAGTCCACGACGTTGGATGTTGAGGATTATGTAGCGCTAGCATCGACATCCCGCGCCTAAAAAAAAAAAATGTCCCTCTAGCACGGGGCGAACAGGGCGACGTCTCGGGCGTCGACGATGGGGACGAAGACCACGCGGATGAAGGCGACGACGACGACGACGACGACGACGACGACGACGAGGGCAAGGAGGGCAAGGAGGACAAGGAGGACAAGGAGGACAAGGAGGAGGAAGACGACGACGACGACGACGTGCACGGCGACGACGACGACGACGACGACGACGACGTCGTGGACGACTGCGACGGCGACGGCGGCGGCGGCGGCGCTGGCAGCGGCGGCGACCACAACGACGCCGACGTGACGGCGACGGCGACTGCGACGGCGACGGTGGCAGCAGCGGCGTTGGCGACCGCGGTGGCGTTGGCGACCGCGGCGGCGGCGCTGGCAGCGGCGGCGGCCACAGCGGCGGCGACGACGTGCTCACCGCGCCGCCGCGCGCTCGGAGTGATTTTTCGCGGCTGCCGTTGCCGCCGCGCGCGCCGCCCGGCGGGCGGCCGCCGCCGCCCATGTGGTGGGCGGAGCACGCTGGCGGCGACTGGAAGGCGGCCCTGAAGGCCCCGGGAGCGCCAATCACTCGGGTGTTGCCTGATGGGCCTGTTTTCCACTACCACCATCATAAGTTGGACGGGGAGGGGGTCCTCCTCCTCCTTCTCCTCCTCCTCCTCCTCCTCCTCATCATCATCATCATCATCCTGCTCTTCGTCCCCCTCCCCCCATCCAACTTATAGTGGTGGTTGTGGAAAACAGGCCCATCATTGCCAGAAGCGCCCCCGGCCCAAGGTGCCCCGAGCATTTCCGGGGCCTCCAGGGCACCCTCTCGGGGCTCAGAGGTTCCCGCGGGCTCCAAAATGGAGCGGGACGCTGGGGGTTGCTTCGGGCCGGGGGCCCACGTTCAGCAACCCGTGGCAATCACAGAGCTCCGACCCCCTTGTCTCGCGGGGCACAGAGGCCTTGAAAGGCTCCGCGGAGACCTCGCGGGACCTGAAAGATGTTTGGCGGCTTGATAAAACAGATGTTGGATCATTCTGCATTTTATGGTTTCACTGGGCCGCTTGGACTAGAGAATCGATGTGGGATGAACCACTGGCCCGCGGGGAAGAGGTGAGATGCCCAGGAGCTCGTCACGGGGACACGGGGAGTTGTCGAAACGCTCTAGGGCCGTCGTGAACTAATGCTGTCTTTGCCCCGTGTTGGGCCCCGAGGCCCCCTCGGATCTTTCTGGCTTGGGAGACCTGACGCAAAGATGGCGTCGACAGCTCCAGTTTTGCTGGTCTCGCCTCTTTTTCCAGGACGCCTGGTGTGTTCTTGGCATCGTTCGGACGTGTGCATGTTTCCTTCGGCGAGGACCATCGAGGAGCATCCTTGATCAGTGGAAAACATGCACGCACGAAGCCGAGGAAAGCACAGGGCATGGACGTCCGAGCGATGGCCAGCGTTGGGCCAGAAGGTTTGGCGCACTTGCCCCGAGGCTCTGCACCAGTTCGGCTCCCATGCGTTTTGCCATGCGTGTTGTGTACAGGTGTACCTGCTTGATGTGTTTTTCTTTTCAGGAGGGAAATATTCACGGTCACGCTGAATCGTCGATTCCCAAGAAGATATAGGAAAATATTGGAAGTGGGGGGG